ATATAGTTATAAATAATTGGTAAAAATAAATTTGTAATTATACCAATTTTGTGACTATAAAGAAGGTGACTATAGAGAGGTTTGACTGTATTTAAAATTTAACTAAATTTTAATAATTTACAAAAAAAGAACTTCTATTCATACACGAAAGTATATATATATATGCAATATAGATATCTCAAAATTTTGATTATAAAACCATCTTTTGGCTTCTAACAAAAAATTTCCTGTAAATTTTGGCATAAACTATACTTTGCCCAATTCCAAACTCACCCTTACTCTAACTATAAGTGAGGGTTTAGTTTTTCGTTTGTAAAATTGTTTTTGATAGATATGTTACACGAATTTGTAATTCAATAAATTATATCCGGTATAATCACGTGTATATATATTTATTGATTTTAAATATATATTTTGAATTAAAAAATTAAAATCAATTATCTTGATAAATTTTAATATTTAAAAATATTTAAGAAGTTTAAAGCTTGTTTAAAGACTGTTCCGGATTAGAAATACGTATAAATAGTCAAACAATATAAAAAATAAGCAAAATTATCAAAGAAATATAAAAGCGATTGTTTGTTGGCTGAAATTTAATAATTAAATACAAAAAAGAAATATCTATGGGCACAAAAGATATGCTTCAACTCGGTATGCATGCCTAATTTTATCCGTGCCTCTATAAGTACTATTCGTAGAATATCTAGCCATAACACAAAGCACAATACCACGTGACCATATAGTTAGGTAATTCTCACGTTAACCCATATCGATATATTGATATGAATTAAAAATTTTTTACAACTAGCGTTAGCTATATTAAATCACCAGTGTAAGTCATAATATCAACAAAAACAATACTATATATATATATATTTAAAAAAAATAAGTTACATTTCAAAATATTTAGGGTAAAAAAACAAAATTAATAATATATGTATATATATGTTTAGATTATATATATATATATATATATATATATTAATTATAAAGCATATTTAAGACAGAGTCGATGCCCTCTTTGAAGGAGTCCTGCACTTGAAGAGAAATTGCATTTAGGAGTAAAATTCATATTGCTATATCTACATACATGTACTTTGGACCAAAAAGGATCATTCATCCCATTCAGTGAGAATTTTTTTAGAGGTTCACTCATAGATCGAGAACTCACAGTTGATTTATCTATAAAATATTTTTAAATATATATTGTCTTGTGATAGCGACGATTTTATAATTTCAATCATGTGACAGCACCGGTGGTGAGTTTTTCCTGATTATATAATATTACCCTGAAAAAAGTTTGGGGGGTATTACATTTAAGCTAAACAATCTTTTATTTAGTAAAACAATTGTTCTTTGGAGTACATGTCAATAACCCACGGGAATAAGTTTGACAATAAAGATCAATATTAGAGATGATTGGGTCAGTAACCTTGCGCGTATAAAAGATGTTATCTTGTGCATATAAACTTTGCATTTCTATTAGGCATTGGTAGTAATAAAACTAATCGAATTAGCATTTAATAATCACTATCGTTATGATCAAAAAGATATAGAATCATGTATAGGGGTCAAGGTGCTGACTAAGTTACATCCTTAAAAAATGAATAATGCATTTTTGTTTACTGAGATTAACGAAGCAAAAAGCCCATGAAATTGGTATTTTTGATAAAATCGTATTATCATGTCGTACTCAGTCGTAGGGTAACAAAATTGATGGATGTTTTGATTTTTTTTACGCGGTGAAAATAAATAATTGGTATCTCTTAATTCGACTCTGGTGCTACGTAAACAATTACTGCTTTTCAGTTTCGTTGTCTTTATTTCCACATTTGTGTTTTATTGCAACCTAAAAAGAAAAGTTAACTTTAAGGTTTTTTTGAAGATTAGGGGGAAAGGCACCTTCGCGGAGACTATTGGTTTGAAATATGATTCACGTGATATGAAATAATTTTCGAGTGAAACATTTGACTCTATTCGCCAAGATTGATAAACGAGAAACAGATAAAAACTAATACCGATATTTTGGAATGATGAGCATCCGATCACCCTTATAACGTACGTACATACATGCATATATGTGTATATTCGGCAACTTTAAAGTCAAGTAGTCGTCCGTGTATAATACGCGGTAAAATCAATGTAGGAATGTGCAGAGACAGTAGAGTTTCTCGGGAAAAGTAAAAAGCCACTATACAATATAAATGAAAAGAGAAACACGCCACTAGAGTTGAAAGCATAAAGCTAGATAATTGAGCAATTTTAAAGATAGTTATGTAGGTACGTACGTACCGTACGTAGGTAAACGTACATAGGTAGGTACGTAGGTATTACGGATGCAATCTTATTTGTTTGTATGTTCTTTTTGTGGTACAATTTCTTTTCATGTAACCTACATTTAAGAAAGTTGCGTCCAGCTCTAGAACCTGCCCTCCTTGCATTTCCAAAAACGTTTGGCATAGATGGTACCAATCATAAACTCAAGCTAAAAATATGTATAGTCATTATTACATGAGAAAAACAAACTTGTTTCTCACAGGAAAATTTCAAAGCAAAGAAACCAAAAAATGGAAATTCACAGCGCAAGTTTACATTAAAAAATGGATAGAAGATTGGTCAATACATTAAGATCGCAGAATTAAGATTATTTTCGTAAAATTGACGCATCCAAGAGAAGAATAGCATGAAATGAAGTCACACATGAGTTAACTAAAAGTTAGACAGAGATTGTATCATTGACGATACATATTTATGCAAGATAACACGCCAATAAAGGACCTTTCCAGATTCCAAGTTACAAAAATTTAGGGTTCCCAATGATGGATGTAATGAAAATGAACAGATTGATCGACCCATGAATCTGCAGGATTATTACATTGAACGCCTTGATAATCATGAACCGCGCATAGGAACAGGTATTTGGAGTTATATTGAGAATTTTTTTTAAAATATCCAAAACCACTAATTCGTTTTTATTTATTTTGATCGATTTTCACAACTAAAATGGCATTCGATGTACAAATAAAAAATACTTAATATGTTGTACAATTCCATATGTAGATGTTCCCCCATGTCGGAAAATTCTATTGTGATAATTTATTCATGAGACTTTTTCCCACAGAGAACAAATTAGGCTCATGTGATAAATCTACTCATTGATTCATCTATTGCCAATTACAAGGTATTTGTGAATATTATTTCTGAATATCATTTATCTGGGTAACTCAACGGAATACTGTATGACATTTGCGTCATACATACGTATATAATCACTGCAATTATATGCTAAAATCATACTCTACTCATACGCCGGGTACTTTAATCTGTGAAATATGGTATTTGGTATGATATTATTTATATATTATATTATTTATTGCATAGATTTAAATACAAATAAAGATCTTAATCTAGGTTTCGATTTGGGGGCGTCTTTCAAATTTTAGATTTATATATTTTTAGTTTATATATTTAGATTTATTTATCTTAGATTTTTTTTTTTTTTTTATTCTATTTTTTTAGATTTTATTATATATTTTATATTTAATTTTATTTTATTATTTAGTCTATTATGTCTGTTATCATTTTGGTACGTAACAAGGTCAGGCCATTTTTGTTTTTATTATTTTTATATTATTACAATTTAACAATTTACTTTATTATTATGTAATGTTTTGACAAGAACCATCTCCATGCCTCTGGAAAAGCAAACCTTTGGTCCCTTTTTTGACAATTTCTTTGTTACAGCAACTCTTCATATTTTTCTTTTCCAAATGCTTCTTCTTTTAACGAGTTTTATAAACAAGTAATGGGAGGCATGCAAGTCCGTATCTAGTTATAGGCTTGGCTATTCGTACAACATTTCGTAATTGAAAATGTGAAATTTCTTTTTTTCCCTTGGATTCGACCAAAAAAAATGGGCGTAACTTTTTGGTTAGAAGTTTATGTGACATCTATCCATATATGCTCAAGGTCTGATCTCTATTTGTCTGTTATCAGTCCGAAAGTGTAAGCGTTAATGTAAGCATTAATGAGTTAGGGTTGGTGTTAGCATTAGGGTTAGGGTTAGCGTTCGGGTTAGTGTTAGCATTAGAGTTAATATTCTAAAAGATTAAACCCCCAACCATCACCCCGAAAAATTTTTTATATGTCAAAATGTTTCCAAATATTCTTTTATATACTGTATCTATTTGCTTTGGTTTTGCCAAACCAAAATAAATTGGCGCGCATATGATTCGTGTCTTTTTTCGGTATTTCGGATTTGGTCCCGTTCCCTGGTTTATTCATTACTTGTTACATAAATATGTTACCATAAATTCCCTTCAACTCGTCCCTCTTATCTAATAATAACCCGAAATTTTTTCTATATATATTGCATCATTTTATGTTACTTCCCAATCCCATTATTCAAAATTCCAAAAAGATTACTATTAAAAAGAAAAAAAAAACATCAACACACACTCTCGGCTTTTTTTCAACTCTACCGGGTTTGTATTAAAAAAAAAAACCGTCTTGTTTTTTCCGGATATTTTAAACTAATTTTTTTTATTTTTTTTTTATATATTGATTGTAAACCGACTTCTAATTATCCTCTTCGTGTCTCACCTTAAACTCCTCATTTTCCTGTTAATATCTAATTCAATATGCCGTTTTTATATGAATACAAGATACCTGTAAGCATAAACGGGTTCTTGTTCCCTCGAAAAAAAAAAAAAAGCCTTATTTTTAAACACCTCCTTTTTCTCACCTTTACTTTTTACTTTCGATTTTTCTCTTTGCTTGATAAATGTAGAATAGCAATAATACGAACTTAAAGATAACGAATAAAACGAATAAATGGATGAAAATGTATCTTATCAATTTGCACCGGTGCGACAGCGTAGGGAAGATAGGCAGGATATGTATGTATATTATTTTGTCCGATTGTTTTTATTAGTGGAATTTTTCACAAAATATTTGATACCTCGATATGCGTTATGAGATAATAACTTCTTCATATCAATTGATTCTATTTAATAACTGATTCTGATAAATCAGTCAATACGAACTAATCCTTCGTCAACAACCAAAGCAATCAAGGATGTGTGGTATCGGTGAAAAAGGTAATAATATACATAATCTTTCACTTTTCTGGACTAGATCATGTCGATGCTGTGACCATTATGTGGATGCACAAATCCTCATTCCGTTGTTATTATCAAGTGCTTCACTTCAGTAATCATTATTGAGTTATGCGAAAATCTTTGAAAATCATATTCTTGGATTTTTTTAAACAGTGGTTTGCGATTGGATAAGACGCGTGAATTCAAACATTTGTAAATTATAGCATATCGTATCTGTTTCTAGCCATGATCAATGGCTTATACATCATGAATTGCCTTAAGCAGAATCCAGTAACTTCATGGTGTTTAGGATCTTAACATTTTGCAAATAATTCCGAATATTTCGAATAATATTCTAACCATCATATATTATTATTTATGCAATGGTCTACTTAATATCACATGATTGCACATGATCAAAAATTGTATTGATATACTATTTTTGTTATTTTTAATAATCGCCGAACTCAAGTCTTTTCCTTTTTTTTTTTTTAATATTAGCTGACAGACGTCCGATAGATCCACCTCCAATAGTCCAATTAAAAGTTCATGACCCTTCCTTGCCACAAGCCGAAAAAAGGTATTTCGATCTTCTTAATCACGTTGTATGTCACGTGCATTTCTTAGCTAATTAGCGTTCGTTCTCCAAAAGTTCATTCCTTCAGAATCCTTATTTTTTCATGTATGCATCTTTAATGGCTCCCGATACAAATGAAGAATTACATTTACTCCGAGATGGCAAGACTCGGTCTACGACCGGTTCCGTTGTTTCCTCCTTATACCATCTTAAAGATATTGATAACTCGGATGCCGGATTTTTCGTATTTCCTGATTTATCTGTACGCATGGAAGGAACATATCGTTTAAAGCTAAGTCTTTTTGAAATAATTGAGTATGTATTAATTTAATTATTTAATATTTATTTTATTTCGATGTAAGCATTTATATCTTTATATTTTTTATAGCCGTGAAGTATATCACTGTAAATCATTATTTTCCGAAATATTTATTGTATATTCAGCAAAAAGATTTCCGGGAATGGAAGGTTATTATAATATTTATATCTAATTTCTACCTAAAGTCATAATGTTTTAACATGTTTGTTCTTTATAGAATCAACGTTTTTATCAAGATCTTTTGCTGATCAAGGTTTAAAAATCAGAATAAGAAAAGAGGTTAGGATACGAAGGTTATTATTTCAATTGATGTATGATCTCCGAAGCTATTTTTCGAAAAGACATAATACCGATTAACTCGGTCAGCATTGAGCTAACTTTGTCAGGATCGTGTCTTCTCCGGAAAATAACTTCCGGGAATTTGGTCAATTTTCTAATCATCATAATCCTATTTTTATCCTAATTATTATTATTATTATTATTATTATTTCTTTTTAAATAATAACTAGGCGGTTAGCTAAAAGAAAAGAATTAGAACCAATAGAGAGTGCTGATGCAAATAGGATGAAACGAGCGCGTGGTGATGACAGATTCGATAATGATAGTCATGAATCTTCTGATTTAGAAATAATAGATCGTACTCAACCTACGGATGAAATACGTTCTAAGAGGACTCCTGATTTAACTGAAAGACGAAAAGATCATTCAAGCAAAAGTCCATCATCATCTTACATCCGGAGTCCATATGATCATATACCTCATATGAGTCCTTATGATCACAATACACCTTTGTATGGACCTGGATATCCACCACATCGACCTATTTCATGGCACGACCGTCCAGAGTATATGAGTGATCCACATTACCCCCCTTATTATGACCTATATGACAGAAGATATGGTTATCATCCTTATTATTACCCTCCACCGTTACCTGATGGTGCGGATCATCATCGTTATCCGTATCCTCCTCCACCAACCTATGGCCGGCCACCAATTTATCCAAGTCAGCCTGGATATTATGATGCACCACCAAGGATACCTCATTCCTCAAGTGAATCTTCGGGTACCTCTAGGCCTTACGGATATGGAATATCAAACCCTTACCCCCCACCGCGTCCATGGTCACATTATGGTGAACGTCCTTCTCCAAGAGATCATAATTCTGAATCTTCGTCTTCATCCCCATATCGGAATGGTCCACTTCCTATACCTCCACGTCATTCAATGTATTCATATCCTGAATATTATCATACATATCCACCTCCACCACCGAAACAGGATTACGGTCAAAATGATCCTGTTTCAAATCAAACTGGCCCTGCTAAAATTCCTATCCAAGATCTTTTATTTTCAGAACAGCAACAATTACAACCAAATACTGAACGTGCTGCCGGCGGTGTTCCCCCTCCTCGTACATACGGCGCTCCGCCATCTGCCTTTGCTCATCTTTATCCTCATCCTGGTCGTCCTCATGAATACCCATCTCGACATGATATGTATAATCATTCTCGATATTCACACGATGTTGGATATCCACCTCATGAAAGTTTGCCACATTACGGTCAAAATGTTACTTCTCACTCACCAAGTCTTGCAAGTGCAAAGGCTATACAACCACCTACAACATTGCAGTCTCAAGATTCTACACATCCTACACATCCTACACATTCTTCAACAAATTCAGTATCAACGATCCCACCAATCTCTTCAAGATCTGATGTTTCTATGCATGGAAGTCGAAGCACGGAATACACCCACTATGATCATGCACGTCGATCATACTCCAGTGAGCAATCATCTGATGGCAATTCTGGAGCAGTAACGCCTTCCAGCACATCACCCCGGCAGTCTTCAGCTTACAACGGTGGACCCATGATTCCGACAGCATCGCGTTCTACAACATCACTAGTATCGCTACCTTCGTTGACTCCTTTAAGCATTGCCGACCGTACTGATCAATATGCAAGTAGTTCCTCCAGTGGTGGTCCAAATCATTCGTCATATCAAAATTCCCCAAATATTATTTCGCAGCAAAAATCATCCCAAAGATCACAACATTCATCATATGAACTACCTTATTCTCAAACTTCACCATCAGACAGAATGTCATTTTCTTCCACTGCTACTACAAATCAAGATATAGTTAGTGACTGTAATCGATTAAAATTTTATAAGCTTAACCGAATTGATAGTTTTGATTCAGCGAAGCCGGCTTAGTCGGCTACTATTT